AAAGCTTGGGCGTGCCCCCGGGGCAGGATAAGTGCCCAGGAGGAGAAACCGGAGCAGACCCGCGGGGTGCCGACACCGGCGGCTGAGGGGGACGGGGACACGGCGCAGCCCCGCTCCTCCCGCAGCCCGTTACCGCCCGCGGCGCCGCTTCCCCCTCCGGCCCCGGTGCACAACGGCGGGCACCGGGGCCGCTCCCCTGCTGCCCCGCAACCCTACCTTGCGCACGCGGGGCAGGGTCCCGCCGGCCGCCGCCAGCGCTCGGTACAGCTCGGCGGGCCCGGGGCTCTCCGGGGCCACCGCCGGAGCCGCATCGTCCTTCGGCCGGAGCCGCCGCCGCCGCCGCCGCCGCAGGGTCATGGCCGGGCCGGGCCGTCCCGTGCGCCGCTATATGGACCCCGGGGGTGGGGACACGGCGGGACGCGCCCCTTTTTGGGGCCGAACCCACCCACTTGGGCGTTAAACCGCGGCTTTGGGGACAGACCACGCCCAGGGTCCGGCTGCGGCCGGCGGCTCTGCGGGCCCGGGCACGAGTCGGGACCACGTGGAGTCCGGGGGGGGTCCGGTGTGAGGGTCCTGCTCGGGGACCCCATCGGGGTCCAGTGGGGGGGTCCGGTGTGAGGGTCCTGCTCGGGGACCCCATCGGGGTCCGGTGGGGGGGTCCTGCTCGGGGACCCCATGGAGGTCCAGTGGGGGGGGTCCTGCTCGGGGACCCCTTGGGTGGGGTCCAGCAGGACGGAACAATTGGGGGTTCCTGCTTAGGGATCCCTTGGGGGTCCAGGGGGAGGTTCCACCTGGGGTCCTGCTCGGTGACCCTCTGGGGGTCGGCAGGGGTGGTCAGCACAGGATCCTGCCCCGGGGGAGGGCCCTTCATGAAGTTCTGCACAGGGATCCCACGGGAGTCCAGCGTGGGGGTCTGGAGGGAGGATCCTGCGTGGGAGCACCCGCAGGGACACCACGGGGCTCAGCGTGGACTTCTGGGTGCTTCTTGGGGCAGAAGAACCCGGGGGAGGCGGTATCCTGAGGGTGCAGGGTGGGATGCTGCTGGGAATATCACGGGAGGCACCGTGGGGTGCCAAGGAGGGATCCCAGGGATCACCTCAGGGATGATTTGGGGAGAAACCGGTGGATTTCCAGGAGCAGAAGCTCCCCGACAGCTGCCACCACGTCACCCCCGGGCCACCAGAGCCGCATTTGGGGTTTAATGGGAGGCAGGAGCTGGGGCAGGGGCGGCCCCAGCCCCCGGGCTGGCTCTCAGCGGGATTTAAACCGCTCCTGCACGATGTGTGCTGCGCTGAGCCGGGACACCAGAGGGAAGAACAATTCCCGGAGGCAGCCGCGGCGGCTGCTGCGGACGCTCCGCGCGGCTCCGGCAGCTCCTCGCTGCGCCCCGGCGGGAGGCAGCGGGAATTTTCCAGCTGGAGTTGAGAGCTTTGCCCAAATGTTTGTTTAAAATTTGCCAAAAAAAATGAAGATCGTAACAATCCCGGCTGGCGTTCCACCCAAACCTCCCGCCCACAGCCCGGCCTGGGGTTACCAGGAGACAAATTTGCTCCAGGAGCAGAGCTGCTCTGGGCTGGAAGTGCTGGGGAAAGGATGGGATTGAGCCCACCATCCATCCTGAGTCACCAAACCACTGGGAATGAAGAGGAACACCCCATCTTGTTCCCAAAATTTGGTAATGACTTGGCCCATCGGCTGCAGCCACCCCAGACTGTTTTCCCATTCCACGGAGGAGCAGACAGGTTTTCTTCAATAATTCCCCATACTCTCATCTCAGTGCTGCCCACGTTTCCAGGATGGGGCTGGATTTTCCTGGGGACCACAGCAGGAGCTTCAGACAAAGCTGGGCATGAGGACAAGCCCAGATGGTGCCTCCCCCTCCCCACCTTGTCTGAGCCCGGGGGGACCCCAGGCCTCGGCAGATTTTCCCCTTGATCCGCTCACAACAGGCTCGCTTGCAGGAGGCTCTAATTAAGGAATTAGCAGGGGCAGTTCATGCAGCACCATTTACCTCGGAGCAAACAGGATTTTGTAGGGACAAGGGGTATTTTGCTGTGGGATTTATCTTTCCTTGAAGCTGTGGGTCCATGTGGAGACTCGGGGATGCTCCAGGGAGGTGCCCACTGTACCCACCACACCCCCAGGGATGCTCTGAGGGGATCTCCAGGGTGTTTATCCTCTGTGACCCCTGCTCTGTGCCTGGCCACAGAGTGGGAGCCCCAAGGTCAGCTGCTCATCCCTGCATGGGTGGAAAATCCCACCTGCCACCTCTTTGTCTCACCTCCACTATGCTCCCGAGTGCTTGGCGGGTGTTGGAAGCTGCATATTCACTAAAAATGGGAATATTCAACATTAAAATGTTTTGATCAGGATTCCTAAGGCTGTGAGGGACAAGCCTTGCCCCCCCCACCCCCCACCAACCCTCTCTGAGGGACTGAGCTGTGCCCTGCAATTCCCACCCCTCCCAGTGAACTGAGATTGCAACACCTCACATGAATAAAACAAACTTTTAATAATGTACAGCAGAAATCGACAGCCTGGTTTTATATTAAACAAAAGATTTCCTATCTTACACCGTATGTACATTTGCATACTGAAGAGGTAAAGTGGCTAAGTGGCTATTTTCTTACAGTCCTTTGCTAAGAAAATGTACAAAACCAAACAAATCAAAGGGGCAGAGAAGTACCAAGAATTCTGTCCTGCAGCCACGTACCGCTGATGGACCCCCCCCTCCTTGTCCTGCACCTGGATCCCCTCAGAACTGCCTGGAATGGTGCTTTTTTCCCCAGAGCTGCTGCAACTTTTTGGAGGCAGGCAGCAATTCCCACGTGCTCAGTCAGCTCGGCAAGCACTGGCGCCCCCGGGCACCGGTTTGCATGAAAGTGCTGTGAAAATGCTACATGGTCAGCGTTAGTTCCTCCCGCTGGCTTTTCCCCATCTCTCCTTTTAGGGAAACAAGGCTTTCCCTAAAATCCTTCCCTTCCTGACCCCTGTTTGGTTTGGCGCTGAGGCAGGTGCAGTGTGGCTACAGTTGGAGGGGGCGAGTTCAGTGCGAGTTTCAGAGCTGATGGACCGGGAGGGGAGAGCCAAGGGGCAGCCTGCAGCACCCAGAGCTGTGCCTCGGCCCCTCCTGCCCTGCCCAGCTCCCACCCCGGGGCCTGCTCCAACGCCCGGGAGTCCTCAGGGCTTCAAGTGCCCCCCTCGGCTTCTAAATCCAGGTTTAACTGGGTTAAATTGACATTTAGGGCTTGCAACTGTCCCCTTCGGCTTTCAAGTCCAGGTTTAACTGGGGTAAACTGACATTTCGGGTTCTCAATCCAGGTTTAACTGGGTTAAACCTGCATTTAGGGTTTGCAAGTGCACCCCTCAGCTTCCAAATCCAGGTTTAACAGAGTTAAACTGACATTTAGGGTTTGCAAGTGCTCCCCTCAGCTTCTAAGTCCAGGTTTAACTGAGTTAAACTGACATTTAGGGCTTCAAGTGCCCCCCTCAGCTTCTAAGTCCAGGTTTAACTAGGCTAAACCTACATTTAGGGTTTGCAAGTGCCCCCCTCAGCTTCTAAGTCCAGGTTTAACAGAGTTAAACTGACATTTAGGGCTTCAAGTGCCCCTCAGAGCTTCTAAGTCCAGGTTTAACAGAGTTAAACTGACATTTAGGGTTTGCAAGTGCCCCCCTCAGCTTCTAAGTCCAGGTTTAACTAGGCTAAACCTACATTTAGGGCTTGCAAGTGCCCCCTTGGCTCCTAAATGCAGGTTTAAGGGACATGTGAAACTGGGAACCTCTGGCTGAGATGTGACTCAGGACAAGCTGGGAGGGGACAGGGGAGCCCCAGCCCCGCTCCCAGGACAGACCCACGCTGCCAAAAACTCCTTGGGGGGTGCAAACCAGCTCCTAACGATTGAAAAACCACACTCCTCACTTTGTACAAGGTCATGGACACACGGGGAATGGGAGGAGAGGGACACATGGACAGGGACACAGACAGCAAGAACAGAGGGACTGAAATAAAGACAACCCTGGCAGCCAGAGCAGAGATGAAACCTCACCTTAGAGAGCAGGAGCAAGGTCAGAGTAGAAACAGTTCCAGTGTAAATCGAGCTGTGCATTTGGTTTTTTTTTTTTTTTTTTTTTTTTTTTTTTTTTTTTTTTGCAGTGATTTCTTTACAAACCAACAGGTCAAGAGGTAATAATTAGAGATTGTTTTTCTGCTCTTAGAAAGAATTAACAATATTCAAAAAAGTTAAAATCCAGACCCTCCCAGAAAACAATAATAATAATAATAATAACAACAACAATAATAATTAAAAAAATAATAATAATCAAAACCACTCCAGTTAAAAGTTATGGCTTCAGAGTTCTCTACTGCAGACACTGACCTGACCTCCACACCACGGCTCCTCCTGACTGCCAAAGCCATCAGGGCAGCCACAGCCCCCACTTCCACAGTCTCTGTAGTCACCCCACCTCTCCCTCACCTGGATTCGGCATTGAATCAAAAGAAAACCCATGCAGATCCCCCCACCCCACACTGAGACACAGCCACTTCCACATTAGGAGATATTTATACACCTATATTAAAAAGATGGATGTTGATTTCCCAACCCACACCTGCTGTCAGATCCTGCCCAGCGCCACTGGGAGGTGTCAGAACTCAGATCACAGAATCACAGAATGAGCCAGGTTGGAAAAGACCTTTGAGATCATCAAGTCCAACCTGTGACCTAACCTAACACCTCCTCATCAACTAAACCATGGCCCTGAGTGCCATGCCCAGTCTTTTTTCAAACATGTCCAGGGACAGTGACTCCTCCACCTCCCTGGGCAGATGATTCCAGTACCCAATCACTCTTTCAGTGAAGAATTTTTTTCTGATGTCCAACCTAAACTTCCCCTGGCACAGCTTAAGGCTGTGTCCTCTCGTTCTGTCAGTGGTTGCCTGGGAGCAGAGACCCCACCTGGCCACAGCCACCTTTCAGGGAGTGTGGAGAGTGATCACCCCCAAGCCCCTTTCTGCCTGGCCACTGTCCAGCCACTCTGTCCCCAGCCTGCAGCGCTGCATCATCACCAGGCCCCCAGAAATGTGCCTGGGTGGTGGAGTTGGGAATTGTGTTCCCAGGAGAACTGAGTCCTGCACTCCCCCACAGCGCCTGCTCCGCCTCTGACACAACTCAGCTCCCCGCTACCCAGAATTACAAACCCCAGGGGCTCAAGACAAAAAAAACCTGGATTCCAGGAGTGATTCTCAGTTCCTTATTTTTGTTTTGTCTTAAAAAAGGGAAGGGGTGGCAGTGAGGCAACCTGATGGGACGTTGTGGCAGCCGGCGGCGGAGACGGCGCGGCCGCGGCGCCCATCGGGGAGCCAAGGATCCGCTCTGCAGCAGCCTGTCCAAGCTCCACGACGCTCACGACTCAGCACGGAGAGCACCAGCAACAGCTCACAAACGGGACACTCGAGATTTGCACATGCACAGGAAGCACGGACAGAGATGAGCCACCCACAGGCAGACACCGCACGGCTATGAGGAGATGACCAGGCACGGGGACACGCGCACCTCGCGCATGCAGACACCGGGGCGCCCCGACGGCCGTCAGGGCGCCGAGTTGGACTTTTTTTTCAAGCTTAAGAAAAGGAGGGAGAACGGTTTTGTGAAGCTGATACAACTGTTCTGGCTCAGCCTCTTGGAAGAGAGCACCATTTGTTTTGCTTTTTCTGCATTAACGTGCCAGTCCCTGGAAAAATCCTCGAGAGTACGGCAAGAAAACTTTCCCTTTCCCTTCCCACTCCCGGCACCGAGCACCCGGGGCTGGCTCCGACCCCACCAATGGGTGCTCAACGCACGCTGAACTTTACAGGGATTTCCTTTAAAGGAACAAAGAGTTACGATCATGGCTGAGATCCCTCGGGTGAAGTCCCTCTCAAATCTCCACGCTCTCAGGAGGTGATCACAAAAGGTTTTGGATTGTTTCATACCCAAGCAGGGAAGAGAGCGGTTCCGTAGGCTCCGTCCCCCTGCCTAGCAGCCTGCAGGTCCCGCTGTCTGGTTGTAGCAGTAGGTTGGGCTGAAACACGAGGTAGGCCTCCATCACATGTCTACTCTAGCACAGCAGCTCCTGTGCAGTTTCCTCCTGCTGAGGCTCAGAGCCTAAATTTTCACATCTTCCTGGACACTGAGCTGGGAGAGGGTTTTCTTAATGCGGAGGGCAGTGAGCCGAGCTGCTCCGTTGGCGTACCAGCACTCTCGCATCATCTTGCCCATCACCCGTAGTGCCTGGGCAAGAAACAACAGCAAATGTCACTGCTCTGCTCTTCCCCTGAGCCCACGTGGGTCTGCCAGGCTGCTGCTCTGCCTGGGCACTGACACAGCCTCCACATCCCCCAAAATCAGAGCGCACCTTACAGTACTTGTTACCTCATCCTGGGGGAATCACGGAATGGTTTGAGTTGGAAGAGATCCTAAAGCTCATCTCATTCCATGCCCTGCCATGGGCAGGGACACCTTCCACTACCTCAGGTTGCTCCAAGCCCCATCCAACCTTGGACACTTTCAGGGAAGAGCAAGAAACAACAGCAAATGTCACTGCTCTGCTCTTCCCCTGAGCCCACGTGGGTCTGCCAGGCTGCTGCTCTGCCTGGGCACTGACACAGCCTCCACATCCCCCAAAATCAGAGCGCACCTTACAGTACTTGTTACCTCATCCTGGGGGAATCATGGAATGGTTTGAGTTGGAAGAGATCCTAAAGCTCATCTCATTCCATGCCCTGCCATGGGCAGGGACACCTTCCACTACCTCAGGTTGCTCCAAGCCCCATCCAACCTTGGACACTTCCAGGGAAGAGGCAGCCCCAGCTTCTCCGGGCATCCTGTGCCAGGGCCTCACCACCCTCACAGGGAGGAATTTCTTCCCAAAATCCCACTTAACCCTGCCCTCTGGCAGTGGGAAGCCACTCCCTCTTGTCCTGGAACTTCTTGTGAAGATTCTCCCCCCCTCTTTCTTGCAGACTCCCTTCAAATACTGCAGGACCACAATCAGGTCACCCCAAAGCTTCTGCTCTCCAGGCTGGACAATCCCAGTTATCTCAGCCTTTCCTCACAGGAGAGGAAGGGGACATGGAGATGAAAGCAGACCTCACCTCGTAGCTCTGCCACCAGTTTGGGATGTTTGGCCGCAATTTCTGGTCACACACGACCTTCCGCATCTCCTCAATCGAAGGATCAGAGGGCACAAGGTCGTAGTAGGGAAGCTGATACTCCTCATGGATACCTGAAAAACAGAGCAGGAAAAATCACATTCCTGGGAACAGGGACCATGGCCACTGTGCTTGCTAAAGACAGACGGATAGAGGTTTGGGCTCCATGACTCACTGCTGAGATGCGTCAACACTTTGCAGTTATTTAGAACAGAAATGAAGAATCTGGAATTGGAGTTAACAAGAAAAATTCAGGGAAATAAAATGCAGCTGCCTAAACTGGAACGGAGTCAGCAGGCTGGGATCAACACCTCCCCGCAAGGCGCCAGGGTCACTGAACCTCCACGGCAGTGGGACTGTCACACGTGGGATGATGCTGCAGCTGCACGTGCCAAGACATTTATACTGATCTAGGGGGTTCCCCACCAGTCAGCACCACCATTTCCTGAAAATCCATCCAAAGGAACACCAGCCACCATTGGGAGCACCAACACCCTTCACTCAACACTGGCTGGGCTTAGCAGCAGTCATGGGTCACTTCTGTTACCTCCCTCGGTGACAACACACAGGGACATGTCCTCCCACAGCCCTGCCCTCCCTCAAACCTCCCAAACATCTGATCAATGAACCCTCAGGTGGGAGAGCCAGGAGCAAACATGGCCACTGGCCCAGGCACACAAATATTACCTCCTGCGTTGCACCTTCGGGCAATCTCCCAGTAGACCAAGCCCAAGGCGTAGATATCAGCACATTTAAATGAATCAAAATGCTTCATGTTGATGGTTTCATCCAAGACTTCTGGGGCCATGTATCTGCACAGAGAAAAGAAAAGCATTTTCATTCTGAGAGGGAATTCTCTGGAAGATAGTAAACAAAAAGAAAAAAGAAAAAGCTCTGCTTGACACAGCCACCATCAGAACAGAACTGGGCCCCCTGATCTAAGAGAGTGAAGAAAATAACTAAAGAACAACAGCAAGCTGGGAAAAGAGGTAGAAATGTCCCAAAACCACATCAGGCTCCCACCAGAAGGTCCCAAAGGCTTTAGTGAGGCCAAGCTTGTTGTCATGTATTCAATGAGCTCCTGTGCCAGGTTTACATGGCTGGCCCACACCTCCCAGCGTGGTGACACCTGGAACATCCCTTTGGCACCAACTCAGGCTGCAAGACACTGGGAAACGCTAAATTCAGAGAATTCCCCCAGTGTTCAACCCACAGCTCAGGCATTTCCAGCCACCCAAATGCCCTCACATGCATTTTCCTACCGTTTGGTTCCAACCCTCTGGTTCGGGGCGATGTCGATCGTGTCCGTGACGGAGTCGTGCCGGACGGCCAGGCCGAGGTCAGCGATGGCACATGTGCCGTTCTTCTTCACCAAAATATTCTTGGATTTCAGGTCTCTGTGAGCAATCCCAGGTTTTCCTAGCAGAACAAAATAAAAAGCAGCAAGGGTCAAGCTGGGGAAATCCATTTGTTGAACTGGCACAGAGGCAGAACCGGATTTCAGGGCGTTAAACCCTCTGTTGCAACACTTTTTCCTGTTTAGGTTCATAAGGAACAGAGCAGGGAAAAGCTCCAATCGTGTTTTGGAGGCGCCACTGATGCAGTGGCACCCAGAGGCCTCAAGAGGGATGTAAACTCCACAGCCCAGCATAGGTGCCGACGTCAGGAGTTTGTGATTCTGCTTCTGCCTGTGCTCACATCCCACCCAGGCAGCGCCAATTTTAGGATGGGATGTGAAATGGTGATATAACTCCTGGGAGCGAGCGCCAGGTTAACCCACTTCACAGCCAGCCAAAGCAATCGCTCTATTTCTGCTCGATAACCACCAGATGAAGCCGGGCTGACTCAGGCAGGGTTTGCTGCACAGCACATCAGCTCCCTTCAGCAATCCTGCTTTATCCTCCCCTCAAGAACTCCCAATGCCTTTCCCAAAGTAGCTTTTACCCTGAGTGCCCACGATCTCCATGTGCAGGTGGGCCAGCCCGCTGGCAGCAGACAGGGCGAGCTTGATCATGCCCTCGATAGTCACCGTGTAGCGATTCAGGTAATCAAAGAGAGAGCCGTGCTCGTGGTAGTCAGAGACGAGCCACAGCTGAGTCCACGTCCCATTATCTGCAACAGGAAAGAGATGGAGCTCAGGCAGATCCAGGGCAGGGATGGCCACTGAGCATCCCACACGTTTTTGGGACAGAGCAGAGCTGCTGGGTAAGGCTACAGCTCAACAGGGGCAAGTAAGAAACAGCTCAAATCATAGTGTGGCCAGCAGGACCAGAGCAGTGACTTTCCCCCTGTGCCAGGCACTGGTGAGGCAACAGCTCAAATCCTGGAGTCAGTTTTGGGCAGTGTAGAGGCCCAGAGAAGGTGACTTAATCAGCTTTAGTCCCCCATGACAAGAAAGACGTGGAGGTGCTGGAATGTGACCAGAGATGGGCAATGGAGCTGGGGAAGGGAGTGGGTAACTTCTGAAGAGCAGCTGAGGGAGCTGGAGGGCTCCACCTGAAGAAAAGGAGGCTCAGGAGGGACCTTCTCATGCTGTTCAGCTTCTTGACAGGAGGATGGAGGTGTTGGAATGTAACCAGTGGGCAATGGAGCTGGGGAAGGGAGTGGGTAACTTCTGAAGAGCTGCTGAGGGAACTGGAGGGCTCAACCTGAAGAAAAGGAGGCTCAGGAGGGACCTTCTCATGCTGTTCAGCTTCTTGACAGGAGGATGGAAGTGTTGGAATGTAACCAGAGATGGGCAATGGAGCTGGGGAAGGGAGTGGGTAACTTCTGAAGAGCTGCTGAGGGAACTGGAGGGCTCAACCTGAAGAAAAGGAGGCTCAGAGGTGACACTCTGATCAACTTTGTGACAGGAGGATGGAGCCAGGTGGGGTAACAAGCAACTGGACCAGAGGAAATGGCCTAAAGTCACAGCAGGGAAGGTTTAGACTGGATATTAGAGAAAACTTCTTGGAAAGGGTGGTGAGGCACTGGAACTGGCTGCCCAGTGGTGAAGCCTCTGCTCCCAGGCCCCAGGCACTCTTACCTTTGTTATCTGCAGCAATGAATCCCAGGATGTTCTCGTGCCTCAGCATCACGGTTTGATAGATCTCTGCCTCCCTGAACCAGGAACGCTCCTCACGTGACGAGAAGATCTTCACAGCCACGTCACCCCCGCGCCACCTGCCCCGCCACACCTCCCCGAAGCGGCCTTTGCCGATGATCTCCTGAAGGACAATTGTCCGAGCCACGGTCCGCTGGACAAACAGAGGCAAGCCTGGGGACAAGGAATGGAAGGAATGAATCCCTGTGGTGATATAAGGTCTCCTCCAGCCAGGTCTTATAAGCTCCTGGAGATTTATTTCACACCCAAGATAGCTCAGCCACCTCAGATGGCATAAAATCAGCAGGAGAGCTTCTGTGCTGGTGTTTGAAATTAAAAAAAAAATAATAAAAGGCAAAATAACAAAGCTCTTTACAGAGAAAACTCAAGCCAGGTGCAAGGGGTTCTTGCTCCTGGTAAAACACCCCACAAAAGCAATCAGTTCCTTTGTTCTCTTCTTTTTCTAGTGAATTGCTTAGGTGGGACTTTTTGGCTCCTGTCCAATCCTTAAGTTTGAGGTGAAGTCCCTCAGGTCCTATGAGGTGTCTTCTTTGCTAATTGAGGAAAGGAACTTCTGGGCTTTTTTCCTTTTTAAGGAGACAAAGGATAATTTGGTCACTCCGTCAACAGGGGGCACATTCCTACACTGTGGTAGCAAAAAACCTCCTGAAACCCCAGAGGCTGAAGAATGTCCTCAAACCCAGCAGGCTCTACATTTGATAACAACTGGGAGCCTGAGCAAGACCCAAACCAGGGAATGGTGGCAGCTCCTGTGTGGGATGTGCCACTGCTTGGGCAGAATCTGCATTTTGCTTTGAAGCAGAGATCCAGCATGGAGCAGTTGGGGAACTTCTGCTCCATGACAGATGAAAGGAACTGCAGCCTTAATATGCAAAGTATGGAACTTGAAGTCAGTTTCTGCTAAAAAGCAGAAACCCCCCCAAATTTATCTTAAGAAAGGAGTCCCAACATCACTGCAATTGCTTACAGAAAGCACTGAGCTCACCTGCCCACAGCATGCATAGAAGAGATGCCAAATATTTTATATATAGCAGCAGATGTGCTGCTGAAGGTTTATTCCCTGGTCAAATATCAGGTTGTGACATTCTCTGCCTCTGTGGATTTTCCTACAGTTTCCATCTGCTGCAGAATCCCTTATATTCTTTAACCCAACTACCTTCCTAGTTCAAAGGCACCACTAAACAGTGACTTTCCATCTATTCTAGGGATTCCTTTCAAGTGCTACAGAAGCAAACACTGCACGTCATCCATCTGGGAAGACCCAAGGGTTCTTTGGGATGAAATGGACTGTGCAAATGCACTATTTGCACTGTAAAATGTTGATCTGCTGGGATCTTCCCCATTTTCCTGCAGCTTTGATGCAGGTGACAGCCTGCATTCTCCTCTGAAAGCCAACAACACACAGGTTAGCAGTTAATGGCTGCTTCCAACACAAATCCTGTTCCAAGGCTGAACTGGGAACAGATGCAGCTGTTTGCTCTTGCAGTTAAGGAGGAGTTTAACTATTGCTCCTATCTGAACAAACATGAGATCACCACACGATGAATTTAAACATTCCTTCAAGTTCCTCATGACAGACCCCCTGAACAGGCTCTGAGGCAGCAACCTCACTGCTGTGGAAGAATTAGTGGCAACCACTAACCCAAAGAGACAACTGCAAGTTCTCATTGGTCACGTCCCACCATCTCGCAATACCTGAGCCAGAGCCGGAGGTGGAGAGATCATAGACCAGATCTTGCAAGGTCTTGTCCTTGGAAAGGCACATTTCACAAGAAGGATCTTCCATGTCCAGCCTCTGGCGGTTGTGATAGACCCGTTGGTGGTGATGGAACACAAAGACCACAATGATCATGACAACAAACACGAGGAAGACGGGCCCGGCAATCACCGCCACCAGCTCCACGGGACCCCAGCTCGACGGGGGCTCATTGTCTTTCAGGTGTCCTTGGGAGGAAAGGGAGGAGAAAAACAGGCATTTTGAGAAAATTATCATTGCTTTGAGGACTTTTGTGTGTTTTACTGTTCTCTCAGAGCCTGGGCAAGCCTGAGGACACGTTAAATAACAGTGTTAAGGTGGGGCTGATCGTCAGGCAGGCAAAATGCAGCTGAAAGCCCAAAAGGAAGATGGAGCTGCAATTGGGGGATCAGGGATTGTGGGCTGTTCATTCACTCTTTTAGACAGGAGTGGGCTCTGGGCTGATTTTCCAGAACAGTCTGCAGTTCACCTTCCATTTGAACTCGACCATTGGGCCAGGGCTCCCTGCTCCCTCTTTCCCTTTTGTCCTGCAACAATCACTGAACTTGTACCTGACAACAATCATTTGCTGTTTTGAGCACAGATGAGACCTCCCCACTGCTCCCAAGGAAAATGACTCTGCAGTCTTCCCAGCACCCACTAAAAACCAGCCCAAAACAGAAAGTAGGAGGTGTGAGGAAGCACCACATGCCCTCTCTGTCCCAGGGATGAGAAGCAGAAGTTTCCCACACCCTCACTCAGAGGCAGGGCTCCTTCCCCTGCATGTGTTCTGAACAAGGCACCTTCCTCCCCACACACTTTGCTCTGAAGCTGCTGCAATGTTCCTCTACTTGTGCTCAGCACTGAAAAGATTTGGAGTGTTGGAAGGGAAGTAACACCAGCTGATAAAGGCAGGGCCAGCTCAGTGACAAAGGGAACACACACATTCCCATTTGAATTTGAAGTAGTTTGTTATTTCCACTTTACAGATGAAGGAAATAAACCCAGCGCTCAAGTTCATGCAGCAACTGAAGGGAAGAAGTGAAAACAGGGCTGAGAACTCCAAATTCCCAACCCCAAACAGACAGCTCCTCTCCTCCCACTTCAAACACATGATTTATCTCACTCTCTACTTACCACTGGGAACCATTAAATCAATTTTGTTGCAAAAATCGGAGTAGCAGCAGTGAGTATTACGCAGATCCTCTGAACTCAGACAATAGAAGGGTTTCCCAGCAGGAATCAATTTTGCCTCAGGAATGCAGGTCCGAACGTGGTGCTTGACTCCATCCAGGTTGAAGACTGAGACCATGCAGGCACCGTCCGTCTCACACGTGGAGTTGGCTTGTTTGCAGTCAGAGCACAGACATGTCAAAGCTGAAATCAAAACAAGATCAACTCCTTAAAACCCACAGAGAGCAAAAGCTCGAACGAGAGGAAACCTTCTTTAAATTCTCCATTTCAAGAGCTGTTCTCAAGCTGTGGAAGAACCGGCTCTGCAAACAGCACAAGTCATACTCAGTATTCCAGACCTGCAAGAATCCAATTTCGGCATGAAACAGACTGTGGAGGCAGAGGAGCCTTTCCAGGAGGTGCCTGTCCAGGCAGCCCTTTGCCTGCCCCTGTTGCAATCACACCAGCCATGACCCAAGCCATCCCTGCAAACCGACCGAGATCCTCTCCCAGCCCAACCTCGGGTCAGACTCAACCCAAACCCAAAAATTACTCAAACTGACTGACCTGATTCCACCTGGGCTGACTGTCCAGGCTCCCTGGAGCTGCCTAATCTGGGCTGGCAAGGAATGACCACCTCAGCTCAGGGAGACAGGGAGCAGCTGGCAGAAGCCAAAGCAAACCCAATCCCAAGTGATTGCACGAGCCAAGCGTGCACACCCAGCTAGATCAGCCACTTATTTAATAACTGCTTTCCTGATCCCAGACACTACCTTGGGTCAAATAAATTCCTGGCTTTTTGCCTGCTCTCCAGAAAGATTATTTGGATAAAGAGAAGGAGAAACTCTGAGGCAGATTCCCACATTTTTCCACCTCCCAGCTGTCATTGTACTTTTCTCAAGCTGCATGAAAAACTGTAAGCAAATCTCCAGGCCTTGCCATCCTTGGGAACAAAGAGGAATCCAACAATGTCAAGAAGAAGGGTGGGGCTTGTTTAGCAGCACGCTGGGTTTTCACCAGCTTTCATCAGCTCTCCCAGCCTTCCCAGAGGGAATCCAAAACATGTCCTTACCCGTTGCAGAAATGGGCTTTCAGGTAGGGAGGGTGTGAAGAAGGGTTTTAAAAGATACAAGTGCCACAGTTAACTCTGCCCAGGCTGATCTAAATCCTCTCAGTGTAAAGTCACACACAAAGTCACCCTCAACACTTGTGTGTGGGGCCATTTCACCCCTAAGCTTAATGAAAAACAAGCTGGTCCTGATTTACTCAGGGCTCCTTTAGGAGGAAGACACCCATTAGCCCTTATCCCAGAGACCTGGGTAAATCAATCAGGGTAATTGCATTACTATTCACTTAATTCTCTCTGGATGCTGCTCCTCCTTTTCCAGCTGCTGTTGTGAGCTGTTTCAGATGGGCTCAATGTGGGTGCTGGTTAGTTTGGAATCAACAGATTCAAAACTGCAGTGAAAAGCCAGTGACAAGAGCCAAGGGAAGGGCTGGAGCTGTGTCAGGAGAGGTTTAGGATGGGTACAGGAAAAGGTTCTTCCCCCAGAGGGTGCTGGGCACTGCCCAGGCTCCCCAGGGCATGGCCCTGAGGCTGCCAGGAGTGTTAGGACACTGCTCTCAGGAATGCACAGGATGAGATCTTGAGATGTCTCCACAAGAGCAGGAATTGGAGTGGATGATCCTGGTGGGCCCTTTCCAACTCAGGATATTTCATGATTCTGTAACTCTGTGATCAAAAGCTGAAGAGCTGTTGAGTGAGACACCTTTAAAAAGCATCAAGAGCAAATGGAGCTTCCTACCAGGTGCTCAGCACAGGCCAGAGAAAAGGGACATGGGACAGAAAATGGACAGGGAAGATTGATCTGTGTTGAGAAGGGTGGAGAACACCCATAGATTCTGAAGATTTTGAGAGGAAATATTATAATGAAAGGAAAAAACCCCTCCACTAACATGCACTTCAAACAGCTCCAAGACCAGTGTTTTCCCATGGTCAGCAGAGTGCAGAAGAGACAATTCTGAAAAATACATACACTTGAGGGAACAAAGGTTGGTGATAAAGGAGATTTCATGAAAATCTAAGATGGCAAAGAGCACCCAGGGCACATTCCTGCCTTCATGTCTGCTTAAAAGGAAATGGTCTTTTAAAGCATCTCCCTTATTACTTATCAAAAGCTCGAGGTACAAATTAAAAACATTTAACCCACACACATTTCACTGTGTAGGTTCTTTTCAGTTTGATTTAGATACAACAAAACTGAACTTTGTTCCTGTTAGACTCATTTTTGAGGTCTCAATTCCAAGATTTAGGCTGTGGCAGTTTTGCTTCCAGAAGCTACAAAGCAAACAAAACACTTCAATGCACTAATAAAACTGGTTTTGTAAACTTCTGAGTGAATTATCTGGCCTGAAACTGAGCATGCCTTTGAGAGGGAAAGCAGAGAAGCAGGTCGTGTCTGCTCAGTCTCATTTGTAGGATTAAAAAACAACAACAAAAAAATCAGTTTACCTGCAAGGTATGATACCAGAGCCCCAGCTTGGAGACAGAGTGAGATCCTTATCTGTTCTGTGCAGAAAGCCAAAATTTCCTGCTAAAGGAGGGGGATGCCCCACGGCTTCACCTCACCCTGCTCCCCCTCTGAGACAACTGCTCTTTTTTAACTTTAATTCTTAGGTTTGCACCTCAAAAATCCCTGTGGTGAGAGAGCAGCTAGAACAAAGAGAATGGAGCCTTCAGCACACACTGTCCTTCTTTCCACCTCTCATCAGAGACCCTTGAGGGGCTTTCCAGGTATTGTTGGCCAGAACCTCCAGGCTGCAGGCAGGAACTCTCCAATTTTCTGTGTGTGCCAGGGAGGAAAGGCCTGTCTGCACCGGGGCTCACTGGGAAGCTCCTGGCAAAGAGGAGAATTACAGAGCAACTCATGCGGGTCCAGTAACTCCAGTTTGCTTAACCAGAAAGGCAAATTCTTCCATCAGAAACTTATGAGAAGCCAGGAAAAAGCAACTGTTGTTTGCCCTTGGGTGGGGGACAGAAGGTGGGCAGGGAAGCAGAGCCCCCCGCTGGTATCTCTTGGGTGCTCTCAGAGCAGCCGGGGCAAAGCAGGAGACAGGAGTGGATAAAAGGATTTTTCATGCCAACAGCATTATTTTTCCTTGGGGAAGAAAAGCTCCTATTGAGCCAAACATATAATCTACTTAATAAAAAAACCCGCCTGGGCTGAAGGAAATAGATGGGGTGAAGGGAAACAAAGAGCAGTTCCCAGAGCCGGGCCGGCGCGTTCCCCCCTCGCAGGGCTGCGGGGAAGGTGCGAGCGGAGCTGGAGCTGGAGCTGGAGCGGAGCCCGCCCGATCTGCTCCCCACACCGACACCCAGAGCCAGCCCAGCCCTTCAGAGACACTGCCTGAACAAGCCCAACGCTCAGCTGCAGATCCTGTGCATGAAAAGCTTTGTTCTCACTGGAGGGATGGAGCAGGTTGGAGCAAACCTTGCTGTGATTCGATCCAAGGCCGGGCCTCACTGCTCTTCCCCAAAACCTGAGAGCTCACTCAGCACTGACAACAAACAAATATTTTTTTTTTTGTTATTGGCAGTGCTGAGTGACCTCTCCTCAATCCTCCACTAGCCCAGCCTAGGGTTTGACTCCTTCAAGCCCAAGAGCTGCTTCTGCTGCCCATGAGTTCCTGGGTTACAGCCCCAGCTCTGAAAGGATCCTGGGGCACAGAGGTGTCCATATCCCCTGAACAAGCCCAACGTTCAGCTGCAGATCCTGTGCATGAAAAGCTCTGCTCTCACTGGAGGGATGGAGCAGGTTGGAGCAAACCTTGCTGTGATTCGATCCAAGGCCGGGCCTCACTGCTCTTCCCCAAAACCTGAGAGATCACTCAGCATCGCCAATAAACAAAAAAATATTATTTATTGGCAGTGCTGAGTGACCTCTCCTCAATCCTCCACTAGCCCAGCCTAGGGTTTGACTCCTTCAAGCCCAAGAGCTGCTTCTGCTGCCCACGAGTTCCTGGGTTACAGCCCCAGCTCTGAAAGGATCCTGGGGTACAGAGGTATCCATATCCCCCTGCATTAACCAGAAAAGAGGCAAAAATCAAGGGCTGGCTCTCTCCCTCCAAATCCCTCCCCATTAAAAACAACCTGTATTTCCAAAATGGATCCAAACAAACAGGTGGGGGGCTGTAGATTTGAGCTCTATGCTCCAGGGAGACTCAAACACTGAGCTCTGACAGGCAAAGAACATTTCTCCTCCTTTCCCAGCAACTCTCCGAGCTCATTTTGCACGTATTTATTCTCACACGGAGTTGCATGTGTCAAGATGTCTCTGCAGCTAGACAGGGGAAAGTTTCACAGCAGAATCTCCTGCAATGGTGTTAACCACCTTTTGGAATACATTTTCCAGCATCTCCTAAAGCTGTGCCTAAGAAAGATGCCATTTTCTCAGGGCTGAACTCTACCTGATCAATATGTATGAGGATAATTAACCTGAAGATGATCATTGGTAAAATTGCCAATAACCACCCACGTATTTACCAGATAAACAGATTTTTTGCAGGGATTGTAGCTGCTGTTCTTTTTCAACAGTTTGAATTGAGGATGAAAGAATGACTCCCCTGACTTTGAGCCTTTCCAAGGCTCTGGAACAGGAGCTGCAGTTGATTGTGTCTCTGTGCAGTACCAAACTTAATGAGCCCCACTCTGGGAGCACCAGTTTCATGCTGCAGCAGCATGATGCTAGCAGGAGAAATGGGGAACAATTGGCTTTGCAGCTCTGCTCCTTCTTTGGATGCTTTAATGAAGAGGGACGTGTGTAAACATGCTTGGAAGAAAGAAATACCTGTCAGTGTCTGGCTCTGTGCTGTGCCAAAAGAAAGAGCAACCTGTATCACACAGGGTTAGGAATAATATCCATTCCCTCGTGGTGAGGGAGCCCAGGTGTGTCCAGGAGTCCCTGTGTGCTCCTTGTTCAGCTGGATAAAGAACAGAGCTCCAAGGAAACAACCAGCTCCCTTTCCTGAGGCAATGATGAGGGACACTGAGCCATCTCATGAAGGCTTTAAAGAAACAAGATTTACTTTCCATTATGTTATCATGGAATCCTGGAATGGCTTGGGTTGGAAGGGACCTTAAAGCTCGTTTTGTTCCACCCCACTGCCATGGGCATGGACACCTTCCACTATCTCAGGTTGCCCCAAGCCCCCTCCATCCTGGCCTTGGACACTTGCAGAGAAGGGGCAGCCCCAGCTTCTCTGGGCATCCTGTGTCAGGGCCTCACCACCCTCACAGGGAGAAATCCTTCCCAAAATCCCACTTAACCCTGCCCTCTGGCAGTGGGAAGCCATTCCCTCTTGCCCTGGCACTCCAGGCCTTTGTAAAAGTCTCTCTCCATCCTTCTTGCAGACTCCCTTCAGGCACTGGAAGGTCACAATCAGGTGACCCCAAAGCTTCTGTTCTCCAGGCTGGACAATCCCAATTCTCCCATCCTCTCCTCACAGGAGAGGTGCTCCCTCCCTCTGATCACCTTGCTGGCCCTTCACACTCACATTCACCCTGCTTGGTGTCCCCAGTGGGGATCCCTCCATCCCTTGCTGGGATACATCTGAGTCCAAAGTGACTGCCCAGGTGTCCCCTCCAAACCCCAGAGCCAGCTCACCTGCACTCACTGCCCCCAAAATCCAATGTTAGTGTAGCTCTGGATGCTGTCACTGCCCATTTCCTCACTCAGGAGCTGGAGAAACGAGCAGGGATCTGTCCTTCCATAGGTACAGCACCACCACCTTGAGCACCTTCCCTACATCTCATTTCCCTTCCAATTTCTCCTCCTGTTTTGGACCAAAATATTTCTCTTTTGCTTCTTGTTGTTGCTTATGATATCTATTGACCCACTGCTGCTACATGAAATGGAGTTAAAATTAGCTGCAAAGCACTATGAAAAACAAAGCACTTTAAAGCAAGTCATCCAGAAACTAAGCATTATCCTGGGATATTTCAAGTTGCAAGTAAGAGTCTCAACTTCTTTGAGCTGGCTGCAGTCCCCTGGCACAGGCTGGACCTGACGTGAAGGCAGCAGGGCTGACTAGAAAACACACGAAATGGAAAAAAAAAAAAAAGAGGGAGGAAGAATGTGGCTTTAAAGTGCAGAACTTTCCCTGCATCTACTCCAGGAACACAAAAAAGCTTCTGAATGAATTGTAAATAAGGAATTGACAGGAGTCTCCTCATTAAGAGGTTAATTAGAAGAAGCCTTGATGTTTCTGCTGCTGCTCTTCCAGCCAGAACACGGACACACAGCTCCCCATTCCCTCTCTGGGCTCTGGTCTGACACTTATTTTGTGTTTTAACTTGTCAGGAAACCAGTTTAGGAGCCAAGAGACCACACACACTGGTGCTGGGGAAGAACACCCTGCACACCTGATGCCCAGGTTTATCAAGGTTCCAAGACTTCAGCCCCATCCTGGCTTCTCTCAGGCAGTTGGCTTTTCCAGAGTGGAAATACATTGTTTAACATGTGGTCTACATTCCCACATCCAGCAATCCACACTTCCAAGAAGGCCACAAAAAGCAGCAAGACTTTATCAAGAGGATTTAAAGCACAGAGAAGGCCCTTTTTCTGCTGAAAAGAAATAAATAAACAGTGGTGCACAAGAGATGCACAGGGCAGCTGAGAGCCAGGGGCTTAAACAAGGAGGAGCTCCCACCCAGAATTTCACCCTTGTAAAACAGAGAAGCAATTGCTGCCTGCTCTGCTCAGGGCAGGACACATTCCCACTGTCACCACCCAGTGAACTTTGCTTGCTGCTAAGAGAACTGACGTTTGACTCGGCTCCTTTCGCAACAGCCATTTCCGGAGCATCCACTGCTGGCAGGGAATCCAGGGGAAAGAAAAAAACAACCCAACTGTCTGGCCAAGGAGCTGGACGGGTTCAAGAATGCTTGTTGGACACTGTTTTTAATTTCCAGTTAGAGAAAGGCTTTCTTGGAAAGTTGTAGGATATAACTTACGGACCACGCAGAGTTTGCCTGATTTAACTGGGTAAATATTTGAAGCAGGTGTTAATAATAAAATCTGCTGCCCCAAAATTATTCCTCAGGGTGGGTTTTTGATTTATTTCAAGCAAAGCTGACCTGCAACACCCCTCTGCAAAGGAGCCTTGATTATTTTCCTTTTTTTTTCCAAAGAAGGGGCTGTGGGAGTGTTATGTGCACTGTTTACTGGCACACAGAGGTTCCCAGCTCCCCAGCACTGCAGAAATTCAGATGTTTTTCCAGCCTTTCCCGAAATAAGTAGCTGTTAAATCTCTGGTAGGAAGCACAATAGCGAGGGCAGCCCCAGCATACCAAACGTGCATCATGGCTGCTGGAGCAGAGAACAATTCCCAGGGTGATCCCTGCCATCCTGCACCTCATTCCAGGAGTGCAACTCCCTCCAGCCCAGGCTGAGCTCACACCTTGCACTGAATAAAACCTCTCAGCACACACTGAGCGGAAACAATAGTCACTCATAGAGCCCAAAATCAAAGGCACCGGGAGTCGCCAAGTTTCCAGGGGATTTGTACAGTCAATTGGTCCTTTCCTGTTTATTAATTATGATTTTTTTTTAATAAACACCAGCTTTTACCTAAATGAATGCCTGAGAACAGCCGTGCCACGAGTCTCGTCTGATCCTGCTCTGCCAGTTATCACAGAGGAGCTGAAACACCCTTGTAAGGCTGGATTTTCACCAAAACACAGCTACTCTCCTCCCAAAAGCACATTTCTACCCCCAAATCCCCAGATCTCCCAGGTAAACCCTCACCTGCTGCCCAGGTGAGGTTTGAAGCCATTTTCTGTGCTCTAACAAGCCCAGATCTGCACACACACACACACGCAGTTATTACCCTCCGACCGTCAGGTGGGAATGCAGAGCACAAACGGTGAGAGGTTGGGGAGGAGAAAAATATTCCACAGTGGAACCTGTCAGGACAGGCACCTGAGTTACACAACAGTGATCACCCCGATGGCCACAGAGCTGGACTGCTCTGGGAAGCCCTGGGCACCACAGCCAGTGGCCACCAGCCTGTCCTCTGTCCCCAAGAGATGCTCACTCAGGTCTTTCCCCCGGGGAAAAGGACCCAGCTCATCCCACACCAATTTCCTTCCTAAAATCAGAGCTGAGATGCTGTGCTTGCCCCAAGCCTGCAGCAGACTCCTCATTCTCCTCCCAAACCCAGAGCTGAGACCCCTCACTCTTCCCCCCATGAGCAGCAGAACCAGGCCAGGGAAAGGAAAAGGATCAACACGGAACAAACAACCAACACAAAGAGTTCTTCCTCCCTCGCCTCCCTCCAAACAAATATTTACAGTTGCTCCAGTCCAGAAGCTCAGTGTATGGAAAGGTTTCCTTAAAAGCCCAAACTGCAGATTGCAGAGGGCTGGATGGTACAGACACACTGCCACCTCTGGGGCACGGGGGGCTGCCCAGTTCACCCCAGCACGGCCCACAGGACCATGGGAAGAGGCCACAAACTCCACCAGTTCCACGACAACACGGTGGCACTTCCCACCTTGGGCTGATCCACACCTCTGTGACAAGCCCAGAAAACGCCTCTGAGACCCCCAAGTGAAACTCTTAAATCCCGGTTTCCATCCTTATCTCCCAAAACCAGGCTGAAGGCTCCCAGATCTCCTCCCAAGGTGAGCACAGGCCTCTTCAGAGCATCCCCTGGCACTGGGAGCCACCCCCAGCCCCAATTGCTGCTGCTTCTCCCCGACACATCCCCATCCCCTCTGGGGGGGAAAGTCCCAAACCAGCTCTGGTCCACACAAACCACACACCCCTGTGAGCCCCCCAGCCACGCCTGAACCCCCCAAACATCCACTACACATCCTTGATGCCTTCAGAGTCCCCCTGCTTCCAGAACCCCTAACCCCATGGATCCTACCCCCAAATCCTCCTATTCACCCTGAAACACCCACACCTATCCACGCCCCAAACCCCTCAGGGGTCTCCTCGCAGCCTTGGGGGCACCTCCAGGCCCCTCCAACCATCTCGCCTCCCCCACCCCATGATCCACCCCCCCAGCCCTCCTCGCCACCCTGGAACACCCACCCCCGTGGCTCCCCCCCCCCCCCCCCCCACGGCCCCCCCCCCCCCCCATAAATTACCCCCCCCTTTCCCCCGCCCCAAGCCCATCCAAAACCTCCCCTGGGCCTCGCCCCCCAGCCGCCCGCCCCACAGCCGCCCCCAGGCCCGGGCAGGCCCCGGCCGTTCCCCCTCACTGCCCTCAGCTCCCCGCATCGCCTCCTTCCCGGTTCCCCTCATCATCCCTCGCTCCCCCTCACGACCCCTCCCCGTTCCCCTCACGGCGGGGGCGGGGGCGCCGCCATGTTGTGCCCGGTGCGGGCCGGGTCCGGCGCCGCCGCTCACTCACCGCGGGCCCCGCCGAGCGGGCCGGCCAGGAGCAGGAGCAGGACGAGCAGGAGGGCGGCGGGGGACGGCGGGGAGCGGCGGGCGGCAGGAGGGGCAGGAGGGAAGCGGGGGGGGTGGGATATGGGTGGGATAAGGGGAAGATAAGAGGGAGATAAGGGTGTGATAAGGGGGAGGTAAGGGTGGGATATGGGTGAGATAGGTGTGTGATGTGTGTGCTAAATGTGTGATATGTGTGCGATAAGTGTGTGTGATAAGTGTGAGATATGGGAGAGATATGTGTGATAAGTGTGTAAGCTATGTGTGATATATGTGTGTGATAAGTGTGTAAGCTGTGTGTGGGCTGTGTGTGATTTGTGCAGTATATGTGAGATATGGGTGTGATAAGTGTGTAAGATGTGTGAAATATGTGTGGATATGAGTGAGATAAGAATGGGATATGGGGGAGATAAGGGTGGGATATGGGTGGGATAAGGGGAAGATAAGAGGGAGATAAGGGTGTGATAAGGGGGAGGTAAGGGTGGGATATGGGTGAGATAGGTGTGTGATGTGTGTGCTAAATGTGTGATATGTGTGCGATAAGTGTGTGTGATAAGTGTGAGATATGGGAGAGATATGTGTGATAAGTGTGTAAGCTATGTGTGGTATATGTGTGTGATAAGTGTGTAAGCTGTGTGTGGGCTGTGTGTGATTTGTGCGATATGTGTGAGATATGGGTGTGATAAGAGTGTAAGATGTGTGAAATGCGTGTATGATAAGTATGAGATTAGTGTGTGATGTGGGTGAGATATGTGTGAGATAAGTGTGTGATATGTGTGTGTCATTTTTGTGCATGATGCGTGTGAGATGTGTGTGATGTGTGTGATTTCTGTGTGTGAGATGTGTGTGATGTGTGTGATTTTTGTCATGATGTGTGTGTGATGTGTGTGATTTCTGTGTGTGAGATGTGTGTGATGTGTGTGATTTTTGTCATGATGTGTGTGTGATGTGTGTGATTTTTGTGTGTGAGATGTGTGTGATGTGTGTGATTTTTGTGTGTGAGATGTGTGTGATGTGTGTGATTTTTGTGTGTGAGATGTGTGTGATGTGTGTGATTTTTGTCATGATGTGTGTGTGATGTGTGTGATTTTTGTGTGTGAGATGTGTGTGATGTGTGTGATCTTTGTCATGATGTGTGTGTGATGTGTGTGATTTTTGTGTGTGACATATGTGTGATTTCTGTGTGTGAGATGTGTGTGCACACACCATGCCGTGTTTGTGCAAGCACACATCATGTGTGCTCAGGTGTGAGTTGTGTGCCCGTGTTCACGAGTGATTTGTGCATCTTCAGGCCTGCATGGCGTGTGTGCACACACATTGTGTGTGCAAGCATGATGTGTGTGGTCATGTGTGCATGATTTATGTGTTCAGGCATTGTTCATGTGTGCAGCCATGTGAGCTCAGGTGTGAGTTGTGTGCATGTGTTCACGAGTGATTTGTGCATCTTCAGGCCTGCATGGCACATTGTGTGTGCAAGCATGATGTGTGTGGTCATGTGTGCATGATTTATGTGTTCAGGCATTGTTCATGTGTGCAGCTGTGTCTGATGTGTGTGCACACGTGTGATCTGTGTGTTCAGGTGTTGTTTGTGTCTGATGTGTGTGCACACGTGTGATCTGTGTGTTCAGGTGTTGTTTGTGTCTGATGTGTGTGCACACGTGTGATCTGTGTGTTCAGGTGTTGTTCGTGTCTGATGTGTGTGCACATGTGTGATGTGTGTGTTCAGGTGTGCAGGGTGTGTGTCCAAGCATGATTTGTGTGTGCCAGCATGATTTGTGTGTGTGATTGGTGTGGGAGTGTGCGTGTGCCATCCTCTGGGACAGGTGGGGACTGAGCCACCCTGGGCTGGGCATCCCAAACCCGGGCAGGGCACTCCAGACCCTGAACAGGGCACCCCAAACCACAGGCTGAGCACCCCAAACCACAGGCTGAGCACCCCAAACCCTGGGTAAGCACCCCAAACTCTGAATAAGCACCCCAAACCACAGGCTGAGCACCCCAAACCCTGGTTAGAGCACCCCAAACCACAGGCTGAGCACCCCAAACCCTGGTTAGAGCACCCCAAACCACAGGCTGAGCACCCCAAACCCTGGTTAGAGCACCCCAAACCACAGGCTGAGCACCCCAAACCCTGGTTAGAGCACCCCAAACCACAGGCTGAGCACCCCATATCCTGGGTAGGGCATCCAAGCCCAGGGCTGGACATCCCAAACCCCAGGTAGGGCACCCCAAACTGCCATCTGAGCATTCTAAACCCTGGTTAGGGCACCCCAAACCCCAGGTAATGCATCCCAAACCACAGGCTGAGCACCCTGACCTCTAGGCAGGGCACTCCAGACCCTGAACAGGGCACCCCAAACCCTGGATAAGCACCCCAAACCACAGGCTGAGCACCCCAAACCCTGGTTAGGGCACTCCAAACCCCAGGGTAAGCACCCCAAACCACAGGCTGAGCACCCCAAACCTTGGGTAATCACCCCAAACCACAGGCTGAGCACCCCAAACCTTGGATAATCACCCCAAACCTTGGGTAATCACCCCAGACCCCATGTAGGGCACCCAAGCCTGGGGCTGGCCATCCCAAACCCCAGGTAGGGCACCCCAAACCACCATCTGAGCATCCCAAACTCTGGCAGAACGCCCCAAGTTGAGCACTCCAAGCCCAGACTAAGGCACCCAAGCCCTTCCATAACCTCATGCCATGCCCAAAAACAGCAGCTGCCCTTTCCTGCCCAGTTCCTCCCGTCTCTAACTGGGCACAGACCAAGGTGTGCTGAGAACACTTTGGAGCTGAAGCCCTAAATTGAGCCAGGCAGGAGTGCCCATCCTGCCGTGGTGCTCAGTGCCCAGCATGGGAGCTTGGGCAGCTCTTAGGTGATAAAATAGCTTTACACTTTATTAAATATATTAAATCTTAATAATTAAATAGTTATGTGGCAAAGCTGGTTCTGCTGAACGTCCCATCCTGGTCATGTCCAAACATCTCCAAGCATGGGGTGGATTTTGGGATGGTGAGGAGCAATGCAGGATGAAGCTGGCCGAGCCAAAACACCAAAATATTGGCAAAGAGCCTAGAGGGCACTTCTTTGGCAAGGGGAATGCTGGCTGCTTGAATTGATGAGCTTAAAAATCCTCCCAAATGACTCTGTGACGTCTCCCCCCAGGGCTGGATCACCACGGGACCCCCACCCTGACGCTCAGACCACCCTCATTTTTGGGATCCTCACAATCCAGGCTGCGGATCCGGCCTGCCCAGGGTGGGTGCTGCCCTTGTGCCATCCTTTGCCAGCAAAACCCATCCCTCCTTTAGCGGGGCACCGCGGCTCTGCCGGGGAATTCCTGCCGCTGCCAGCGCCGGGCGGGTCCGGGCAGCTCTCGGCCCGATGGAGCCGGCGCTGGGTGGGTGCCCCGGGGGCTGGGGGTGCGCCAGGGGTGGTTCTGCCACCGGTGCCCCTCGCCGTGGACTCGGGGTGGGCGAGCAGCTGCCGTCCCTGTGGGCGCAGCGAGACGCGCCGGTGTCGGATGACGGATCCAGGGATATTTTTATGGCCGGGTGGAAGATTCCTCCTTTGGTGTTTGGGTTTTTTTTTTTTTTTTTTTTTCTTTTTTTTCGTGCTTGCAAATTCAACCGGCTCGAAGGAGGAGTGGGAGAGGCAGGAGCTGCGAGCGAATCCCCTCTGTGACCGGAGCCATCCCGTCCCCGGTGCCGCCCGTCAGTGGCTCCGGTGTCCGGTTCTCGGCACTCACTGCTCCAGTTTTGGCTTCTCCACGGAATTGTTCAGCTTCTTCAACGTCTTTTTAATGCGCAGGGCGGTGAGACGGGCCGAGGGGCTCTGGTACCAGCACTCCTTCATGATCTTCGCCAGCGCCGACAGAACCTGAGGGGGAGGCACAAAAAAAGGGATAAACGCGAGGGTTTAGTGGGCAGCAAAGGGGTGGGAGGGGTGCGGTCCCCCTGGGACTCACCGAGTCGGAGAAGAGGCGGTTGGGGATCACGGGGGTCTGCTGGTCCACACACACCACCTTCTTCATGTCCTCGAAGCTGGGGTCGCTGGGCACGGCGTCGAAGAAGGGCGGGCGGTATTCCTCCACGATGCCTGCGGGACGGGGGGGGCGTGAGGGCGGGGAGAGCGAGGGGTTCACCCCCCTCCTCACCCCCATCCTCACCCCCATCCTGCACATCACGTGTAGGAATGTGCCCCCTGTTGGCGGAGTGACCAAACTATCTTTGTCCGCTTAAAAAGGAAAAAAACCCAGAAGTTTCTCTCCTCAGTTAGTGAAAAAGACATCGCATAGGACCTTGGGGACTTCACCTCAAATTTAAGGATAGCCAATTGGACAGAAGCCAAAAAGTTCCGCCTGAACAATTCACTAGAAAAAGAAGAGAACAAAGGAACTGATTGCTTTTGTGGGGTGTTTTACCAGGAGCAAGAACCTCTTGCACCTGGCTTGGTTATTCTCTGTAAAGAGCTTTGTTATTTTGCCTTTTATTGAAACCTTTTTGTTTCCAACACCACCACAGAAGCCATCCTGCTGATTCTATGCCTTCTAAGGTAGCTGAGCTATCTTGGGTGTGAAACAGATCTCCAAGAGTTTATAAGACCTGGCTCAAGGAGATCCATATTTCAGTCATGGGCTGCTGGAGGGTCCCGGCACGGCCGAGCTGCTCCCTGCAGCATTCCCGGTGGGATGTGCCTCTCCTGGGCACACGGGGTGCTGACAGCTGGCTCTGGCACCACCGCTGGCTCCAGCACCAGCTGCAGCCCTGACGCCAGTCCAGCACCAGCCCCACCACGAAGATCATCAGCTCCAGCACCGACAGCAGCCCTTGGCACTGTGGCCACCTCCACTCAGCACCTGGTGGTCAGCCTGCCAGCTGGCCCAGCTAATCTCGGTTTAACGCTTGCATATGTCCGTGTCCCCGTGGGATTTAATGGCTCTGGGAAGCATCGAGCCCCCAGCAGCTCCCTGCACCCCAAAGAGTGACCCCAAAACCTCGGGGTCCCCTGGAGTTCCCCATCCCCGATGCCCTGAAGCTGTCCTGGAGTGTGAGGGGTCCTGGAAGGGTTAAACCCAGCCGGCTGAAGGCCATTCCTGCGCAAGGCTGGGGTAATTCGGAGTAAATGTGTAATCTGAGGGAGCCCTGGGGACGTAAATGAGATTATCCCGGCCAGACTGCCCCTGGGGGGACCTCCCACCCATCCGCCAGCGCCCACCATTTAATTAATGTTTAAACGGACTTTGCCGGGATGAGCAGCGCTGGCCAGGCAGCCCCAATTCGGTTCATCCCCAGCTCGGGGGGATCCTTCCCCTTGCCCCAGTCCCGAGTTCCCGAGCCAAGCCCGGCGGCCGGAGGTCCCGGCCGTGGCCGCTTTCCAGGCAGCGCTTGAAGCTGCTTGTTTTCTAATCAGCGCTGAACAAACAAAGCACTGATTGAGCCTAATGGGCCCTTTAATCAGGGAGCCGGGTGCTGACACTAGATTACAGTGTTTATAATTTACAGCTAATCTTCTGGGCGAAGGAAAGGGGAAAAAAAAAAAAAAAAAAAGGAACAAGAAAAGGATGGAAGGAGGGAACGGGCGCGGAGCCTCGCGGGGAGCCGGGAGCGAGCGGGGCCGGCCGCCGGGAGCTGCTCACCGTTCACCACCGTTCTCCGGGTGATCTCCCAGAGCACCAGCCCGTACGCCCAGATGTCTGTCTTCTTGTAGGACTCGAAGCAGTCGGTGCGGATCTGCTCGCTCAGCACCTCCGGGGCCATGTAGCGCTTGGTGCCCACCCGGGGGTTGTTGCCAATGTCCAGGTAGTCGCTGCCCTGAGAGTGCATGACGGCCAGCCCTGGGGGGATGGGTCACAGAGTCATTTGGGATGACTTTTAAGGTCATCAGTTCTATAAAATGCTGGGATACCGGCCCTGAGCAGGGCTGTGCTGGTGCTGCATCCATGGGGCTCAACATCCCTGAGGTCCCAAAAGCCCAGGACGCCACATCCTTGTGGAACCACCACCCTGGGGCATCACATCCCTGGAATGTTACATCCCCAGGGTACCACATTCCTTGGAGCATCACATCTGTGGGGTTGCACAACCATGCAGCACCACGTCCCTGGGGTTCCAGGGTATCTCATTCCTGGGGTACCACATCCCCGGGGTACTTCATCCCTGGGGTACCTCATACCCAGGGTACCCCATCACTGGGGTACCACATGCCCAGGGTACCTCATTCTTGGAGTACTTCATCCCTGGTATCTCACCCCTGGGGTACCTCACCCCTGGGGTACCTCATCACCGGGGAAACTCATCCTTGGGGTACCACATCCCTGGGGGTTCCACATCCCTGGGGTATCTCATCACTGGGGTACTTCATCCCCCGGGTACCACACGTCTGGGGTACCACACCCCTGGGGTGACACATCACTGGGGTACCTCATCCCTGGGGTATCTCATCACTGGGGTACTTCATCCCCGGGGAAACTCATCCTTGGAGTACCACATCCCTGGGGGTTCCATATCCCTGGGGTATCTCATCCTTGGGGTACCTCATCCCCAGGGTACCTCATCCCTGGGGTACCACACCCCTGGGGTACCACAGCCCTGGGGTGACACATCCCTGGGGTATCTCATTCTTGGGGTACCTCACCCCCGGAGTACCTCATCCCTGGGGTACCACCCCCCTGGATTCCTTATCTCTGGGGTACCTCACCCCTGGGTTACCACATCCCTGGGGTACCACATACCTGGATATCTCATCCCTAGGGTACCACATCCCTGGGGCATGTCATCCCCAGTGTACCACATCCCTGGGATACCTCATTCTTGGAGTACCACACCCCTAGGGTACCTCATTCCTTGGGGTACCTCATCCCTGGGGAAACTCATCACTAGGGTACCACATCCCTGGGGTACATAATCCCCAGGGTACTTCATCACTGAGGGACCACATCCCCAGGGTACCTCATCCCTGGGGTACCACATACATGGGTGTTCCACATCCCCGGGGTACCTCATCCCCAGGGTACCTCATCCCTGGGGTACCACACTTCTGGGGTACCACAGCCCTGGGTACCTCATCCCTGGGGTACCTCATTCTTGGGGTACCTCATCACCGGGGTACCACACCCCTGGACACCTCATCTCTGGGGTACCACATCCCTGGGGTACCACATACATGGGTGTTCCACATCCCTGGGGTACCTCATCCCTAGGGGTACCACACCCCTGGATACCTCATCCTTGGGGTACCACACCCCTGGATTCCTCATCCCTGGGGCACCACACCCCTCGATACCCCATCCCTGGATACCTCATCCTTGGGGTACCTCACCCCCCCCCCCCCCCCCCCCCCCCCCCCCCCCCCCCCCCCCC